CCCTCTTCAGGCTATTTTACTCCCTCAAGCGCGTCATCCATTTGTGTAGTCTTCATCATCTTTCTCTTTCACTTGTATTTATTCACGAAAACGTCGCGCGCGATAAAAAGTTAAATAAACGCGTATATTTGTGAGATACGTATTGATCTTATCGAATCAGCAAAAAATTTTATTTTCAATCTTTTTATCGCAGCGTTGATTACAAACTATAATTGTTAATAACGTATGTTTTCTTTAAAAACTTTTAAATTTATTTACTGATTGTGAGAGAGAAGCTTAAGTAGACCTCCAGTTTTCTCGTTGAGAAATAATCAAACAAATATTTGGGACTCGTATTACACTAACATTTAATTATAAAACGGGCTTTCAAATTGAAATAAATATACGTTTACTCTTTCGTATCGCGTTGCTGCCGACAAAGTGCGGCTCAGCAATAACGTTAGCACGCACGTGCTCAACAAGGGGGGATGTGTCATCCCTCAGGGCAATTAGATGTACTCTCTGGGAAAGAAAAAGATAAACGACGGGTCAACCCGCGCAATCTAATTCCGAGAGACCCTCTCCTCCTCTCCTCTCCCTCTTCTTCCCATGCAAATCGAGGCGCCCTTAACTGGCTGACGTTTCAACCCTTGACACTCACCCCTGGTGGCGCCATAGGGTCGTACACGTAAACGCCGCCAGTACTAGTTCCTTCGACTCTGTACAACGTGACTTAAATTAACCCCAGCTGCTTCGCGCGCCCTTTCTCTTCTCCCTCTCCCTTCCTCTTCTCTTTCGGAGCTGTCTCACTGCTCTCCGCGTCTAAAAGCTAATCTTAACGAAAGGCTCTTCGTCGTAAAACTTACGAACTGGGAAATAGGTTTGGTCTATAGGGAGTATTCAATTGCGGGTATAAACATTCGTTTGCTTCCGCTGAATACTTCGGTTTAAAAAGGTAAAAATTAGAAATGGGAAGAACTTGAGAGATCTTTATGCCGATGTATTTTATTAAAATAACAATTAATTTTATATATTTAAAAATTAAGATAATAACTGATTTACTATATTATGAACTGACGATTAACTTTGTATTTTACATTTTTATTGCTGAGTCGAAACTTTTTAAAAACTGTTGAAAGAGTATTTAGTGTTATGCTTTTATTCGATAAGATCATTCTGGTCATTGGACAAAATCACATTAATAGTCAATTATCTGATAAAGTATGTATGTTTAGCTGTAATAATTAAATTTAATAATAATTTATTCAATAATGAACTCTGATATACAATTAATATAACTCTACTATACTCATTTACTAGTTGTTATTACATTGTTATTGGCTTCCTGCATTTACTGTTATATGATGTATTTCTCACTACCCGGAAAGTAGGTAACAGTATATTCCGCTCAGATATAACTTCTCTTGACTTTTAGGACATGTTACACTTTTCCACGAAAATAATACGCTCTTGACACGTGACACAAAGAATACTTTTCCGGAAGCGAATGTCTTTCTATCCCGCTTCTCGACGTTGCTCGGTGCAACCGCTAGCGCAAGATCGTGTTTTTATCTAGCTATCTCCTCCTTGTGCCTCCGCACACTCCGCATCGCTGTTCACGACTCATATAAATCATGATGAATGAGAAAACAAGCAGCGCGCATCGTACTTGAAAACATCCCTCGCGCAATATTCCCATCTTTCTCTCTCTCTCTTTCTCTCTTTCTTTGTCTCTTTTTCTCTCGCGACTCCCGGTACTAATTCCAACAAAAGGACCGCTGCTGCACACGCTGGTGGATTCTACCGGGCGTGGAAAATGGAAAACACACCGCGCAAACACGATCCGCCTCCGCCGTCCGAAACACGTTGCCGGGTGGATTTTGCCGATGAAGGGTGGCAGTCGCCGTGGGATGAGACACCGTAACCGGGTTCGCCCCTCGCCCTCATTTCGCCTGCGAGCTCTCCAGCCTCCCCGGTGGCGGGCGCCGCGCCGCGTCGGTCCGGACGAGGGTGGATGATAGTGTGGCGATTCACGGATGAATGTCGCCCGAGTTATAATTGCAACGAGCCGTAATTAGTTTTGGAAATTTAATTATTTCTGGGCCGCGCGATAAATGCCGGCGGCTGCCAGTCCCGTCCCGCAAAAGGCCTCCCGGCGAAGAATTATTTGACGATTTCGTCACCGCGTTACGTACACGTTAATCTCACTTCGCCCGTGACTTCGGGCGTCGGAGGTGGTCCTGCAACTGCGAATCGTTAGTCCACATTTCGCCGAATGGACACTGCATGTTACTTACACCGGCTAACTGCCGACGAATGTAATTTTCCTGGGATTTAGCCAAATACAAGTTTATCGTCTCTCATGCGCACGCGTACGAGGTTACGTGTCTCATTAAACGAGTTCTCTCATAATTAAATTGTCGCGTTTTCTCTAACATATTTAGAGAATATCATATAGTAGATTACAAATTTACTAAATTGCTTTTATTAGATATGTGTGTACGTGTCTAAAATCAAAATTAATTGAAGGCACAATCATAATCCTCGATAAATTGATTCTCGCGTAAGATATTAATTTTTTATTTTTTGTACTTCTATTTAAGTGCGCGTAACTTCTTCGTTTAAATGATCAAGCCGCGAATCTAGCTGTGTCGACATCGTAAATCGCCAGGACTAATTCGCTGATCGATCTTTAAAATTCTGCAACACCGCCCGAAGGCTGTTGCTCTCTCCATTAGCGATATGAATTTTCGCGTTATACACACGTGCCGTCGCGCGTCGATGTGTGTATACAAAATAAACGTTAATTGAACCCGCGACTCGCAGTCAGACGGTGTTTACACTGCAATTTATCTTTCCGTCCGCAGAATTTTTGCCGTTTCCGTTAGGATAATTGCGGCTGAATAGAGACTCGATTAAGCGATAGTCACGCGATGAGTCACTCGCCGCCGTTATTCATATTTTTACGCGCGAGAACTATCTAATTGCACGTTTCTCCCGAGGTGCGAATGAGGTGTGTAACTCAGTGCATGCAATAGAGTGAATGTAAGGAACTCGGCCTGTTAGATCTTACATGCTCATGCCTTCGTACGAGCGTCGAGTACGTACTATTACGTTGCAATACCTATATACGCATTGCGAAATAGAAAGTGTCAATAAATCTCGCTATTAGTTGATATTTTATCGATTAATAGCGAGATTTTTTTTATTTTTTTATTTTATAAGAGGTTTAATATCGTCTGTCCTTTCTTATCGATCGCTTGTCGATGCGTGGTTATTGCCAGACAGCTGTAATTATACAAATTGTGATTAAATTAAATTTGTGCACGGCAAGTATCTGTGAAAAGAAAAACGCGATTGCGTAATTAACGAGGTGCTTATGTTTGTAGGCGGTTTCGAAATTTTATCACGCACACGGAGCCAACGAAATAAAAATGTTTGCGCGCGTTGTTTTATGCGGATATTTTATTATATTGTACAACCAATTTTATCGCGAATATTTTGCATTTCGTGAAATGCCCTTTGCATTGTGTAATTAAACTTTGAAAGATTAAACGGTAACGTTTTGATCGTTAATGAACGGCAATGCAACGATCAACGATCGACGGCGCGCGGTCGCCTTTGTTTTAATTACAACGTACATTTCGTTCCGTCGTGCAGATGACATACATTTCGGTCGCACATTCGTCCATGCTTATTAAAAATGAAGCAACCTATTTGCAAAAGAATGTTTGACAAGGTCTGAGGGCGAGCCAGCATTGGCATATTCGTTATTGTCGCCGTTATGCATGGCTGTCGATTGCGTTTTTAGAAATTAATGCCCGCGTTCTCGCACTGTACGCGGCTTGCGTGCTGCACTCATTGTTCTGTATTTTAAGGGCCAGGCGCACACACGACGCTGTTAAAAATTTATTAATACGCGAGCCGCACAAATATCGAAACGATATTTCATTCCTCTTACCATTGAATCTTAATGCTTTTGTAATTTAGCATACTTCCGAACTAAAAAATAACGAGGAAAGTTAAAAACTATTAAAAATGAAGGAATGAGTAAAGAGAAAAGAATGGAAGATTTTGTTATTTATTAAGAAGAATGATTAGATATTTATAGTTTTTTAACGATACAAAAGAGATAATAAGTTAATAGCTCTTCTTATCATAGATAATAATTGTACGTAAAATTTTCATATATTCTGTTATTTTTATTAAATTTATTTGAATTAGAAAGTTTATGTATCTGTCCATATACGTACATATTGTGAAGTACAGCATCACAGATAATCATTGTTACTATTATTTATGTTTTTTATAAAGTATATTGAATGGCGCTGTGAAATAAAATGATATTTTAATACGGCGGAGATTATCATTCCGCGTAATTTTCGTCTTCATTAGGAGCAGTCGCGCAGATTCTAAGGTTGAATGCGAGCGACATTGTCAAAAATTTATAAGACACCACCAGTCGCACCCTCTCGGCGACTTCTCAAGCAGATCCTCACAAAAGCTGCCTCTCCCTAAACTTTTGTCCGGCCCTTTGCTTGCGTCTCGCACCCTCGACACTCACCCTTCTCCGTACCCACGCGGTTTATGAATCTTTTAGCAACGCATCGAGGTTCTGAAAACCAAAGACGGGTCTTTGTTCGAGACGAGTTCGTTTACCCGTTACAAAATGTCTGGAATATGTTAGGAATCGTGATAAATTACTAACGAAGAATCTCATACACACACACACGTACAAAATAATTTATTATTGAACTTGCGAGTGTGAAATATTGCGTACACTTCTACGAATAAAATATCCGACTGTAAGAAAATGAAAAAAAACAACGATGAATACTATTAACTCGATTTTTCTTTTTAAATCAATATTTAATAATTAAAATTAATTGTATAAATTGTAAAGATAAAATATTTATTAAAATTCGTCTCACTTTTTACAAAAAAAAAAAAAAAGAAAAGTAAATCTCTTAAACCTCTTTAAATATTTGTAAAGCTAACGAGACTGTCTCGTTATGTTTCAGCGATCATGGCGCACTTCTTCTTCCTGGCTGCTTTCTTCTGGCTGAATACGATGTGCTTCAACATCTGGTGGACGTTCAGGTGAGTCGTGATTTACTTCCCGTCATTGCTCTGTTTTCAGGAGATATAAATGTGCTTTCAAGCGTGAATTAAAATGCATTCTTAAATGACGCACTTACGCGCGACCGTTATTTGATAACGACTATCGTAAAGTTATGAAAGATCGTCAGGCAGGCTGCCAGAGAGATCTCCGACTTCGTATCACGAATATCTGAAACTTCGGAACTGACTGATGTTCAATACTTTGGGAGGGTCGTAAAATTGCGCCACTGCCGTCGGAGAGTAATCGGAATTTGCGGAATGCCGTTATATCTCGCGACGTTATCGATAAAAATGTTTTAAAAAAAAATGCAAAGAGAAAAAAAAATACTTTGGAGCAGTACGGACATTCCAGTCCGCCGATCTGTTGCATAATAGAATGCCGAACAGGTCACTGACGCGTGTGTACCGTTAAGTGAAGCAAGTTAAACGTTGTAGAAACAATATAGTCAATTCCTACGTATGTACAATTTGAAAGGAATTCCGAATTATCCGGGGGAGGGGGATCGAAGCGAACTAAAGCCGAAAGTCTAGCGAGAGTGAGATTCGATATTTACCTTGTTAAACGACTAGAATGCGGATTTATTGATTTGGATAGGTTCAGTTAGCGTCACTTTTATGCCTAGAATAACAAAATGCCCAATTATCCCGACGAATATCGATGCGCGATAATAGCGAAATAAACTCTAATTAACGTGTCGCTTCATTACGGTCCGAAATAATTATATAATGCGGATAAATCGTCCGTACGCAAGCAAACGATTATAATAATTTAACTAAATTTCAGGGAAATTCTACACGTTTCTTGCCTATGGCTCGTTGTAGCTAATTAAAGTCCGTTCATCCATACGTAATTATGAAAAGTACTGGGACGCGCGTACAAATCACAAACGCAATTGTACCCTCGTTTATGATCACATCGCATATAATCACTCGTAATAACATAGACTACACAAAATCGTTCTCACGATTTGCATAATAAAATTCTTTGACCGACATTTTCGCGGAATACATATATATGTAGACAAAAATATATCAACTTTCCATAGCCAATTAACCCATTAACTGTCAAATTTTTACTTTTTCCTTTAAAAAATTTTAATTAAAAAACGATTAATGATTATTGATATCAAAAATTGATGAAATTCATAAATAAAGACCATAGGCAATTAGTGGATTAAGAATAAAGCGTTTTCCACAAACTGCTGGAGAATAATTAGACCCAATAATAAATCACTAATAGATATAGTATTTTATTCAATGAATTATATTTATACAAGAGAGATTTAAATGCATAAGCAGCATTTTAAGAGTTAGTAATCGAGATTTAATGTGAAAGTGAAAATATTATATATTTGTCACTCTAATATACATATACAGATCTTATGTAATTACTTATAACTTTTATTCAAAATATTAAATCTTTGAATAAAATGAGCTTTAAATGAGCCTTAAATAAGCACATTAAAAATGCAATCATGATCTGTAAACCGAAAGATGCCTAAGTACTCTGATTACTAGCAAGTAGATTGCTGTCGCGATGAAAGCTTTGCCGGTTGGGGGAACCGAATGAACGAGAGATTGGATCAGGATCACTCGGTCGACTGGTTAATGCGATGCAACACGGTCACCATAACGGGTCTCTTCCTCGTCTCGCTGCCGGTTCTCGTGGTTCCACTCTCTTTTCTGTTTTGTTTCTTTTTCGCTTGTCCTCGCTTCCTCTCCCCACCGCGACCACCGCTCGTCGTGTTTCGTTGCGCGTTATTTTCATCGAGTCGTCTTCTCGATCGAGAACTTATCCACCGTCTGCATCTGGCTACGCCGTACGCGTAATTATCTATATCCGTAGGCTCGACGTGTCGATTTATGACACCCGGCACGAGATAAATTGATATAACAACTTCGGTTACGCAGAGTCGTGAGCGATGTAAGAATTTAGAAGAATTCGCGTGCGATCGATTTTTGTATATTGATTTTCATATTCTAACTTTTATAGTTTACGTAATTAAATCGAGTTACGAATGAAATTGATTCTGTATTAACGATTTTCAAATAATCCAAGAAAAATTTTGTTTCGCTTTTTCCATGTGTAATAACTCATTAAGTTGAAAAATTAAATTCTAAAAAGGCACGTCATAATTTCCGTTTTGTTCAAATTTTTTTAGCTTTTTAACTAGAAACGTATGGAAAAAGTTTTTTTATTTATTAAACAAGAGCTTATCGTTGTTGAGTCTATAATATTTTTACGTGTATCTGAACTGTGTGATTTCATAAAAGTGACATTTTTTGTCACTATAATTAAACAACTTATTTGCATAAGACATATTTCTTGCATTTAATTACGCTGGGCTGGTTTCTGCGCATAGCGTTGTAAATCAGCGCAGCCCGAAACGTCGCCAGTTATGATGGTGAAAACACGGAAGCAATAAAAAAAAAATACACGTTCAGGTATACATTGTTTCTTAAAAATGGTTTTTATAACATCACGTTTTTATCTCTCTGCTGTCTCGTGATATGCCTTATAATCGTTTCAATTCACGTCGCCAGTTATTCGTAATTGTAACGAAGATAGACTCGTGCAAAAATGATACACGGTAAACGCTAACTGGACGCGCGTAACCAACGGTATCCCCAACTTTTCGATGGGCCGGTGGCGTGGGTAACAAGTAAAAATATTTTAACGCGCGCGGTAAGCCGCGGTAAGCATTTGTATCACCGGCCCTGACTTTTCATGATCAATGCGGTTCGATGAACTTGCACTCTTGCAGCGTTCACACTTTTATCTCCGTTTTCGTATATCTCTTCTCTGCCTCTCTAGGCGCGCGCGCGCGCGCACGCGTATACACACGCACGCACACGTCAAAACTGTCGGCGACACGTGCGCGTGTATCCACTTGTTGAAGTGTCAGCGGCACGTTGCGCGTTCACGGTGGCTGCCTCGTGTGCCCCGTGATTTTCGAGCTGGAAAATTATCCTGATGTCATTTGCGGCTGCATGCGCGCGCGCGTTTCTGCACGGTCGTTGCACTGCAGACCACCACTGTTGCATTGCCGATGATCTCTTTTTTTCCTTACGGTCTGTCGACTCGCTACTGTCGGCGATGTTCGCCTATCGCTTCGCTCATCACCGGATTAACGCGTTGTAACATACGAGATGTTATTGCCCAACAAAGCGAATGTCGCTAATTCTCGCAAATTTTAGGCGGAAAAATTCGCAAACAATATTATGAATGAATACGAGAATAATAATACATTTGCGTTCGTGCTAAATAGTTTAAATTTAAAGAATATCTCTATAACTTTTAAGAGAAAAAGAGACAATAAACGATCAACGAAAAACAAATTATGCTGCAAAATTAAATGAAACAAAATTTTGGAAATCTTTAAAACATATTTTTTTAAAGAAATTTTTTTAAATTTTATTTGTATAACTTTGTAAAAAAGTGCCTCTTGTTCGATCTGTTGAAATTTCGATCACAGTCGAGTGGAACACTATTCGAGAACAACAATACGTATCTATCTAAATGATTTGAATTGTATCAAGTGGGAGCGTTTCATAGAAATGCTTCTCTAATGAACACACCCTATTGTTTTGGTTATACGCGTCCAACGATATTCGCTTGCAAGTACATCGTTGGATGTACAACATCGAGCGCGGTAAATTGAATCGAACCAACCGATTCCGATCCGTGTAATTTTCTTGCGTCGAGCTTCCGTGACAGAAGCGATCCGTGTGGGGGATATTCGACGTCACCTCCCGTCGCGCCAATTAGTAGTGCTTGCGACATTACACCACCAATGGGAGCCCGATGCCATCACCGTTACGTTTAATTGCACGCGAAGGCCGCGTCGTGCGTTTTCCCGTGCTTATGTTTTCCCGCCTTCCCTTCTCTCTCGCTCTCCCCCGTCCTTCTTTCTCCGTCTCTCGTTCTCGTGATCTCGATACCCAACGCGTTTCTCGCGCCTCTATTTTCTGAGAAATTGTTCAATTACCTAACATCCAAGCAGCTTCCCACGGTCACTGCAACCGCCGCGCGCCGTGCCGTCGATGCGCGCATGCTTGCGCCGCTGCGTGACCTCGGCGCGCATTTAGCGTTTCTTCTCTAAACGAATTTGCATTCCGGTCGCTGCCTGCAGCATCTGCCTATACATATATGCCGAACCGGCGCGCACGGATTTTTCACGAAGTTAACCCGCGACAAGCCTCTGTCGTTTGTTCCCTGATAAAAATGCTCCGCCAGCACGCTTACGTAACGCGCGAGTAAATGCGGTGCACGCAGTAAACGCAATATACTCTTTGCGATGTCAACCGTCAGAACATACGATTAAAGTCAAGAATTTTTTTCTCTCGCGATTCGAGGACGGCAAAGAAAGATTTATGAGCAAGGATTTTATGAGAGGGAACGGAAAACTGTTTTTAAAGACGCTAATCGAGAATCAATGTACCAGTTTTATTAAAACTTGATGCTGTAATGATAAAATCTGTTGGAGGAACGAATTTTCTCCTTTAATTCGAGCAACACAATCAGTCATTGTCAGCAACGAGGAAACTAATCTCAAAGGCTCCCTGCAAAACAATGGTCGAGCCAGTTGGCGTAAAGCAAAACAGAGCCGGCGTGTGTATCGTCCTGCGTGAAGCGACCGAGTGTGTTTTGCCGTGCGTGTATTAAAGGACAGTTCGTTAAGGTTTCTTCTGTTCTCCCGATGGACGAGCTCATTAACTTCGTTTATCTCGCTCTCGATAAACAGCCACCGCCTCGATTTCTTTGGTCCGCGTGCCGAGCCGTGTGCGTGACGCGAATGATTAGAATGATCTTGACGACGACATCGTTACTATAGTGAATATTTCTTATTAAAAAATTTTACGCAGATAAGAATAAATGTATACGTATACATAATTTGCACTTTAGTAAATTGCACCGAAGCAACTCGATCCGTTCAATCTACATATATAATTTCTTCTAAAAAAATGTATACTTCGTT